TTGATCTGGACGGTTGTAGTCAGCCAAAGATCTAGCTTGGTTAGCCTCTTCTACAGATTGAATGATATTGTAGGTGCAGTCTCTTGCTCAGGTATGATCTCCTTCTGAGCGTTCAGCTTCTGACCTGCTGCATTACGCAGGTGACCATCTCGATCACGCAGGTCTCCATTCTCATCGGTAGTGAGAATAATAGGCGCTACCATGTCTCGCCGGTTAGTATCGATCGATGTAAGATGAGGTATATCGATCGATGTCGGATGAAAGGTATCGGTCGACGAACGGTTGTTCATGTCGAGCGATGTGACGGTGAGAGCATCGGTCGACGTTGAAGGTGTCTCGGTCGATGTTGAAGGTGTCTCAGTCAACTGTGGTAGGCAAGTATCGGTCGACAGGGATGTGTTGATGTCGATTGATGAGGAGCGTAGGTCTTTGCGGATGCTACGCTCCAAGCCGTGAGGATCTTCTGAGTACAAAAGGTGTTTGTTCTTGTTGCTTCTAGTACTGTTGGGCATGTACCTGAAAAAGACAAGAAAAATTTTTTGGTGTCAGAAGATAATTAAACAATAAAAGAAAAAAATAAACTAGACCTAATCAGATTAAATCTAATGTTATCAAAGTTCCCCGGCAACGGCGCCTAATCTGATATCACTCAAATGTTTAACCCTAAGAAGTGAATTACTCTCTCAAATAAGAGGTTCAGTTGTAGTACTTAGGGATAGAATCCACAGGGAACTAAGGAACACAATAGATGTAATCCTAAATGATTATGCTAGGTTGATTAGGTTTAAAATAGTAAATTGCAGTTTTGTAAGCAATGATAAGTTGCTTAAGAGAATGGGTTTAGGTTTAAAAACAATAAAAGAAAGTAGTTAGATTCAAGGTTGCTATTTAGATAATCAGGATTATAATGCTATAGATGTTTTAATGAATTGCTTGCAAGATATATGAGAACTTCGATTCTTAGACAGATCTAATAGCAATCGCTAAATAGACACATCCATTGATCTTATTGCCAGCAATATCGACCGATGTTTTGACAGCGATTTCGGACGATATGGGTTGCTGTCGATCGATGACTCTATAGGAGTATCGATCGATAGAGCATAAGATCGAATCGAAACTGTGTTCACCAAGATCATAGACCGGCTCTCGCACAACCCTTGAGGATCTAAGCTCATGCCAAATGATTTCAGGACAATGATTAACAAGTTAAATCACATCCATGATCATACTCTAGGTAGCTACTCTAGAGTAAGCATTGGGGTTCATTTGGATAATGAATATCAACAATTCAACATTCCATAGTTGGGGCTAATCCCTCATAACTATTTGAACCCTAAATCTAACAAAGAAATCTACTCAGACATGGCTGAGAGATTTATAACAGCAAGGTAGTAATAGAAACTCATAGATTAGAAGATTGAACTTTTGAATCTTGGATCAACAAATCTCTTTGTGTGTTTCTTCTAAATCTAGAATTCTATAACCTTTAAGAAATTAAGATGAAAAGAAATACTTTATTGCTAAGTATAGAATAGAACAAAGGAACAAGAAAAGTATGCAAAGCTTTTCAAGTACAAAAGTAACTAGAACAATAGAAACATTCAAAAAGCATGTCTAGCCAAACACAATGGCAAAAACTATAAATATGAGTTCCACTAGGTTAAGAACTCGTCAGGGGAATTATTGTAATATTGGGAAGACTTAGGCTTCAAGTCGGCCAAGTCGGACTTGCTCTCCACGCATCATATCGATCGATGGTACATGGTGTACATCGATCGATGGAGTATCGCGACTTCATCTTCAATAGAAGCGTGATCAATCGATTACACAGGGTGTGTATCGATCGATATGTATCCTTATTTTCTGATCTTCATAGTCATCTTCGGAAAACTCTCTTTTAAGCTCCAAAAGGGCACCTAAATCATCACTTTACTCCAAAGTGCTCCTGAACCTGAAAACATACCTAATAGACTCCAAAACATATATAGAACTCATAAAAACATATCAATACCATGGCTAAAAGCGGGTCAAAATCATGGTATATCAGTGATCATGAGTAATTACACACTTTCTCATGCTAATCACACTCCTGAGTCCGCGGCAATCATGATTAGTTACGGTGTCTAAGGTTTAGAGTTGGTCCTTCATCTGAAGATAGTCTTTGTGGCTGCATGGGTGACTCCGTAGGTGGCTATTACTTTGACGGTGCTTTGAGTTGGACCTATTTTGTACACCTGGTAGTTGTGAAGCTCTGGGAACCCGATTTGTTAACCGCATGTGTTCACCGAAGGAAAGCTTGGCAGCTTGTGCCTTCTTCTCCATGACACTATCTTTTGTTTTTCTTCAATCTGCTTATAGATCTACCAAAATCTCATTGTAACATAGTTTCCTTTGTTTCTCTGGTGAACCAGTAAGTTCTGTATCGATTGTTCAGTTTAAGCCGGGGCATAAAAAACGGAACCAAACTCAAACCGAACCGAAATAACTGAACTTGTAACCGGACTAAACCCTCAAACACTTGAATGGTTCCTATATTTTCTATATTTAATATAACTAAACCGAATGGGCACCCGAATATATAAAAATATTAGTTATATGTAATTATAATATGACTAAATATGCATATATATATATATATATACATAATTTAAAATCTATTACAAGTATTTGAATCTTTTTTTCTTTTTAAACTAAATTATTAAAAAAACCCGAACTACCCGAAACTATCCGGATATTTTATCCAAAATATCCAAAGTAATCCGAAATCTCCAACTTTTTTAATCCAAACTATCCTAATTATTCTATATTTCACCTAAGATACCTGATGTTTAACCTGAATTACCCGAACTAACCGAACCAGAAACGAAACCAAATGAGAACCAAATTTTTCCCGGTATTTTCTGGTTCATAGTTTTTCTAATTGAACTGAACCAAAAACTACCCGAACCGAACTCAAACTTAAATAATTTAAGTAGTAAATAGATTCTTTAGCCCTCTACCCATACTAGCAGAACCCCGAAATACCCAAACCGAATCGAACCGATGATACCAAAAATGCCTATGTGTATGGGTTGATTAAATATAAATATAAATACACCTTGATCGTTCATCCGCACAGATTTTGATTTTTGGTTTTTTTAATGACATTTTAAAACACATAGATTATTTTCATATTTTTAGGTTCATACCAACCTATTTGAACCCGAAAGATCCGGACTCGAACCCCATCCAGAAAGTGTAAATTTTAAAACCCAAAAAACTCATATGCAAAAAAAAAATGTTTATACGTGAATGGGTACTTTGATATCCATGTCTAACTGATCGTGTAAACAAATAAAGAAAAAATTTAACCGGTTTGAATTCCTTATATATTAAAAGAGAAGCATTACAAAATTTGAGAAATGACATATGTCGGTATGAGAATGATTCTTGAGAGTCCATAGAAAAATAAGTTGGTACATCTAAATATAAACTATAGACTTCATTAAACTAACCATAAAATCACTTATTAATCTACAAAAAATATTCTCAATTATATTCTGAAATAAAAGATCAAAATTATTTAATGTGATTAAAATATATATAATAATTAATAGTTTTCAATAACAAAGATTTTGCTAACAATTCGTATACATATATCATGTTGTTAAAAAAAAAATCTTGTTATTAAAATAAATTACACAATTACATTAACTATATAATAAAATTTAGACTTTCTCGTATATTTTGTATTTTTAATTTTTTTAAACGAGTAGAAACTATTAGAAGTCTCACATAAACTTTTATTCTCAATAATTTAAATATTTTGCTATGATAAAATACAAATGGTTATAAAACCACATGAGTAAGAAGTCTTATTTATATTAATATAAATATATATATACATATTATCATTTAAATTAAACTATTTACCATATAAAATACACACCTATATTTGCATTGAAAAGATATTGAGAATTTAATATATTTTATTTGTTAAAGCATTGATAATTTAATATTTTAATTTTGTATTTTTAACTCAATTTCTTAAAAATGATTATAAATTACTATACTAAGCATCCCACATTAAAACGTTAATCAAATGATTTATAATTTTGTTGTAAAAAGATAATGAAAATCATAAAACCTTATGATTAGGAACTTCATTTAATAAATAGCTATATTAACATATATATTATATTTTTATTAATATTTAAATTTAATCATGTATCATACACAATTGATAAAATTAATTGTTTTGATTTATTTACCATATAATAAATAAAGTGATCATCGTTTGATTTAAATATGTGCATCAATTTAATTATATACATAATAGTTAATGATTTCCCAATTATTCTATATACATTTATTATTTTATTATTTCGTAATATATAAATATAAGTTTTTATATAAAAAGGTTTATCCCGCAAGGTGTAATTTTGTAAAGAATGAGTAGTTTCATTCAAACCTGTGAAATTATTATAGTGAACACATAAAATAAATAATCTTGAATTCCTATAATAAATACAATTAGTGAAGTATTTAGGAAGAGTGTAAAAAGGAAAATGTAACAAAACATTTTAAATAGGTACAATTATGTTTTCTACTTTGTAATAAATTATATCGAATAAATTAGAAAAAAAAATAATAAACAAAGTGGTCAGAATTAATTTAAATTTTGAAATTTTATAAGGAAAACCACTGCGGAGTCTCAGACTAGAAAAAAAATGGTGCTGAAGGGGAAGCGAGAAGAGCCAACCAACAGGCTCCGAGGAAACATGATTACAAAGGGAAAGGTATTGCCTATGAGGGTGCAAAGCAAGAAGGCTCTTCAAAGGTGGGTCCGGGAAGAAGGTACAGGGAACAAGGAAGAACAGCCTCAAGATATGTGAGGCAGGGAGGTTTTCTACCTCCTCAAGAGTTAGCTGATAGCTATGTCATCGCTACGAGGGGTGTTAATGGTCTTAGAAATTAGGAGGTGGGGCGTCATTTGGATGCTTAACACAAACTTATGTTAGAGGCATTGTCGAGTGGGGGTCAGAAGGAGACATCAGATCTAAGGCAAGGAAGGTTCTTCACTTTGAGGAGCCTACTCCTCCTCTGGTAGAACAAGGAAATGAAGGAGATAGGAGTGCTGTTGTGGTCAGTGTGCAGGGGAATGACATGGATCTTCCGGGGCTATCAAATAGGGATGCTGCGACGGTTGCTTTGGGTGCTGAAACCACCGTAGGAGATGAGGAGATGAGGGCGATTGTATCACCGGTTAAGCAGGTGGGTCATGAAAGTATACAGGCTGGTGGGAAGAAAGTGGAGGAGGAGGCACCAAATGAATGTCTAGACGATGAGAAGATGGAGGATGAGCTTTTAGCAGAGAAGGGTATGGAGTTGGTCCAGGATATCGATGACCAGATGAAGGATACAGAGATGGTGGTGGCTGCAGATAACGATTTGGAGGGATAAGCTCAAGCTTCAGAGGATGCAAAAAAAATTAGGAGAGAAAGGACGACAGGTGAAAAGGAACAAAAATCTGAAGATTAATGTGGGGGCTATGGGTGGTAATGCAAAGGAAAGGCTGGTGCAGAGTGCAATCTCCCCACGGAAGAAGGTTATGGCAAAGCAGTCCAACAAAGGGGGAATGAAGGGTCCAGTTCCCACAAAGAAGAACGCGGAAAGTTCTCCGCCTGACCAGGAATAGGATTCCTTGGTGCTTTCAATTTCAATTTTTTTAAAACAAAATTCTTATGAATAAGAATCAGGATGTTGCTACACGGCTTATGGTATTTTTATTGCTTGTTTTTTCTCCGTCTTGAGTTGCTTCTGATGTTATCAGGGAGTAGGAATAAACGTATTTGATTTTCTCGGTTTCATTGGGGCTATACTTCCCTATTATACTCTACAGATATGGTTATGGATGGTAATCTGGTTACTTGACAATCACACGAATGAATCTGATTACGGGTTGCAATTTTGGAATCTTGGTGGGGCTAGGATCTGGCTGGAAGCAGGTTTCTAAGGACGTGGATTGGGATGATGAGAACACACGATTAAGTATTCATGATGGTTTCTGTATTTTTTGGGCTATATTGGTCAAGGTATACTGTAACATCCCGAGTTGTGATATATGGAAAGGTTTAAGAGGATTGATTTGACTACCTATGTCACCAAAGTGCACTTACCTTTTCGGGAGCATATCTAGAGAGAACTCCAGAGTTAAGCGTGCTTGAGCTGGAGTAGTCAAAGGATGGGTGACCTATCAGGAAGTGATTTGCAATATTGTGTAAGTGAGGCCAAAGCACGAGGAAATGTCATGTGATGATTGCAGGGTCAGTAAACATGACTCTAGAGCCTTGGAAAATTAACGAACCGGCCGTTTGATCGGGATGGGGCCCACAGGCTGAGTGGCGGGCGTTGGTGGCCCATTAGCCGTGGGCTGTCGGGTGTTACAAGTGGTATCAGAGCTGGTTAACCATCTCAGTTCTGACCCCATAGGGGTCTTGAGACTTGTCGTGGGGTGCAACGAGAACGTTGCGTTCTTTGAGAGGGGGTGAATTGTAACATCTCGAGTTGTGATATATGGAAAGACTTAAGAGGATTGATTTGGCTACCTATGTCACCAAAGTGCACTTATCTTTTCGGGAGCACATCGAAAGAGAACTCCAGAGTTAAGTGTGCTTGATCTGGAGTAGTCAAAGGATGGTTGACCTATCGGGAAGATTTGCGATACCGTGTAAGTGAGGCCAAAGCACGAGGAAAGGTCATGTGGTGATTGCAGGATCAGTAAGCATTAATCTAGAGCCTTGGAAAATTAACAAACCGGCTGTTGAAACGGAATGGGCCCACGGGCCGAGTGAGCGGGCGTGGGTGGCCCATTAACCATGGACGGTCGGGGCATTACAGAAATGGTCAGAGGTATGTATGCGGTTGGAGTATTTGGGGAACGAGGTATCAATGAGAAGGCGTTTTGCCTGTCCTATGATTCATATGTAAATTTCAGTGAAGGAATATGGATGCACTACTAGATTAAACGGTTGGTTTGGCTATAGTTTGCAAGCTAGTATTTTGGAACTTCAGTGTTTTAAAGCTAGACCAATTAGGTTATTGGAGGTAGGTTGGTCTACAAACAGAAGTTCGTTCTATAAGCTGGATTCTGGTTTTTTTATTTTGGTTTTTGTATACTGGGGTTACTACTTGGGAGTATGAGGATGTAATGTTTACTATAGTTAACGAGGTTAATGTTGGGTGGTTTTTAAAACATGAAATTGTATTTTACGGACAACATGGACAAAGGAAAAGAGTGTATTGCTTTATTAATTGTAAATTTGATCTTTGGTGGATAATATACTGCTTTGTTTGGAATTATTTAGAATTTCAGATACTTTACCAGTTATGAAAAATTTTCGATCTTGTGAATTGTGATTTGCAATGTCAATTGTGTGGAGCCGATGAGGAATCTACGAATCATATACTTTTTGAATGCCCTTTAGCACTACAAACTTGAGCACTTTCCATTCCTTCACCTCTGGGGACTTTCCCCGTTGGCTCCATTTTTACCAACATGGATTGTTTATTCTGGAGATTACCCAAAGAACTAGAGGTAACGTATTTTCCGTGTATTTTGTGATATATTTGGAAAAATCAAAACAATAAGATTTATAAAAACAAAAACAGGAGATCCGTTGGATTTTTTTTTTGTTGCAAAAATAGAAGGTACTTTATAGACCAAAGCCCAAATAAAAGTCGGTGATTAGTGATTCATATACTCTTCCTGTGAATCATTTTTCTAATTTGGACTATTGGTGTTATATTGATGGAGCATGGAAGGAACGTGGCTTATTTACAGGTCAAGGATGGTTATATAAGAAAGAATGAACTATTGATATTATGATGGGTGCCATTAATATTTGCAGGAGTCAATCACCTTTACATGCAAAATGTGAAGTGGTCCTCTGGAATTGAATCTCAAATACTACTTCTACACTGTTAGCTTGCAGTAGTAAAGACACAAGGACCAGTTTAGACTTTACCTCTATGGGGATAATATTAATATTGGTCAAGGATCAATATTAAGCTAAAACAATATGGGGATTTTTAAAAGAAGAAATCGTAAAGAGCAAGTAACAAGTTGGTTTGGTTTCAGATTATAAAAGAGCTAAGTTCAGGGTGATTCGTTGAGATACTTAGGATCATGAGCTACACAACTATTTAGAAAAACAATACGAGCCAATCTAGAACTTGAACAACAAGATTAGATAAACCCATTGTTGTGGTATCTACCAATTTATCAAGCAATCCTAATACCTAAACTATCGTTTGGATTAGAGATTGATGAAAAGCATTAAGATCAGATTCAATTGGTTCACGATTTGCCTTAACATCAGCTTTCGTTGGCTAAGGACAAATCGCCTATCTATGCTTTTTCTAGCAATCTAAAACACTTTTGATGATTAGATTGAACCTGTAATCAGATGATAAAGTGCCAGTTTAACACAAGCAATAGGTATAGCAATAGATAGAGATATCAAAGAATAACAATCCTATTTGTGTCTAACTCATTAATCCATGATCCTTAACACCCTAAACCTAACAAGCGACTACTCAGCCATGAACAGAGAAATCACAGAGAATAGAGATGAAAAAAAACATGTCTGAATCAATAAAAGAGTTTAAAAATCTTCTCCAAAGGTTGTAGAGATTCTTCTCCCTCAAAGATACAAAGTAATAAATCACAAATCTCCAAAAGCTCAAGTCTGGTTTCTTGTGTAAAAGTAGCGTAGAATATAATAGAAAAGAGGAAAATAATATATATGGAGGCTCCGGGCGGCTGGGAGAGAAAAATAGGAGAATTAGGGAAAATTCCGATATATGTTGTAATTTCCTTAAAAATCCCTGCCGCGGGAACAGGCACTTCAGGCTGTTCTGCTAGGCTGCTCCGCACGAAAATCTCCAATTTGTACTCTTTTCTGCCTTTTTTACTCCAATTGGTCCATCTTCTATCCAATGCAACTCCAGACATGTTTTCTTCATCTCTATAAAGAATCAAAAACACTTTAGTAAACATTGTTAGAATATACTAAAAACACCATATATCATGAAGCGCTGATTTAGGCGGTGGAGTGCATGAAAATCCTAAATATTTTTGAAGTAGTGTTTGCTACAGACTGTTTTAAACTGGTGAAGATGGTGTCTACACCCACTGATAAAAACAAGACTCAAAGCTTACTGCGGCTTCAGACATTGATATGCGGAGCAAAATAAGTTTTTTTCCGATCCACGGATTACTGCAGCTTCAGAGAAGAAGGATTTTAAGTGACCTCTATTTGTTTCTGGATCACATGTTGAGTATGTGTCGGGTTGGGTCTCCAGCATCCACCAAAAGTTTGTCAAATTTTGCTCGATTTCTGGATTTCACCATTTCCGTTGCTCATATTCAAAACTTCACTATGGTATTACTCCCATGTTTGACTTGGATTTTGCCAAAATATTTATATTCAACTAGAAAAGTTTAAAGAAGAACACTTCACAAATACTAATCAAAATGTTTGTACTGAAGAGTTTCAATTTCAAATTCCTATGCATTGGCTGATTTGTGTTGACTGGAGATATTGGGCACGAAGAAAAATATTATGATCCTCAAGACTGAAGTTAAGTATGGTTTATTTGTGCTTACTTTGTAATTTCTATATTATTGTTTCAGACAAGCATCAAGGGTTGGAGAAGAAGAGGACCAGAGTATTGTCCCTACTTCTTGAGGAATAATTTGTAAGATTCTTCGACTACTTTTATTTATCTGAAAAAGCATCAAGGGTTGGAGAAGAAGAGGACCAGAGTATTGTCCCTACTTCTTGAGGAATAATTTGTAAGATTCTTCGACTACTTTTATCTATCTGAAAAAGTTAGGAGTCATCATGATGAGATTCAAGATGTATAATAAAAATCAAGGGACAATTATATGTGTCCTTCTTATGTTAAAAAAAAATTACGTTTATATTTGCAAATGCATAAGAAAACAAATTACAACTTAAAAAAAATTGTTTTTATGAAATATATATAGGATAACAAACGTAGGACAAAAAACATATACAAACTCTTGACCAATTACTATTATCAGTTGATAAGTGTAAGGAACATGGGAGAGGTTTGTGGAAGTGGGGAACAAAAGGACACACGGCGTGGCTTAGGGAAAAGAGGTTTCTTCGTTGACCAAATGATGATGCATATTTTTTTTGTTTTTTTCTTCTAATTCTAATAAAAGAACATGTAGTATATTGAAATCTATCATTTTGTTAAACTAGAGTCTGTAAATCATTTTTTTAAATTATAGTGATCAATGAAGCCAAGTTTTGTTATTCTCAGACAAAAAAAAAACACTCAAAAATAAGTGACCAATTTACACTGATTTCAGGAAGGTGAATGTTAAACTGATCTTCTCATTAGCATTATTCCTATAAATAATCGTCAAAGGTCAATTTTTGAAATGCAATGTAGGTATAGTTTGTTACACAGTTTTGTTCATGTCACAAGTATTTGTTTATATCAGACTCATCTCAGCTAAATATGTTTATCATATTCAGAGACATAACTCAGATTTTTAGAGGTTAAGAAAACATAAACCCAATATTTGTAGCCAATTTACATATAGGTTAAGATAAAACCGAGCCTGGATTAAGAAAAAACCTATATAAAGTATGATAAAATTTTACATCTAAAATTACAGACACATTCCTTTGCTCTTAATTTTCTCCCTTCCTATCACTTTAATTCAAAAGACGAAAGCAAATTACAGACAAATAAAACTTCACACAAGAAAGATGGTGGCGAAAACCCACATGTTGTGATAGATGACAATGTCACTTTCAAGGCATCATCGACATCTTTAAGAGAAGGAAAAAGATACTAGTGGCCAGTTAGGGAGGTCTTTATTGCTCTATTGGCAAGAACCAGGATGTCACTGATGAGAAGAGTGGCCATCACCTTGCAAAAAATAGTTTAGTTATGGCGATGGAGGAATCGGCGAGAAGGCGGAGAGAGAGGTAAGAATCATTAGATTTTTGGTCTGTGTAATGGGAGAAAAGAGAGAGAGGTAGTTTCATGGCGGACATGACGGATGACAGAGTGAAAGATAAGGAAGAAGAAGAGATGAGAAAAAGAATAAACCATTTGTATATGTGTTGAGTGGTTTCGGCTTATAAGTGAAGAAAAAGAAGTAATGAATGGTAATAAAGTGGAGAATCACTGTGATTTTCTTTTTACCACTATAAGTATACTATACGAGAAATTGTATTTTTGAATGTAAGTATGCTAGTTGTATAGACCGAGATAAATCAACCAATGTATTTATCTAAATACATCTATTTAATTTGAATCAAATTTTTATAATGTTTATATTTAATTAGGGTTGATAATGAGTATAATATTCAATGTAAAAATAATGAAATTCAGTATATAGATTTGTAAATCTTTTATTTCTTAAATGTCATTTTAGCCTTTAGATTGGTCAAAATTATTTATTGAATGAACTTCGATACTAGGAAAATAGGAATCAAAAGATCAAACAAAAACACGTTGAATACAATAGGTGTGAGTAATTGACCATATGTATATTTTGTTAACTCTTATAAACTATGTAATCTAACATTTTTAGAAGTGGTACCATGACAAAAAAAATTCTAAAAATTTTGCAAATAAATCACACATAATACATAATGATATTGGTAAAACCAATAAAGTTAGTAATACCATATATGAATTGAAACAAATAATTGACCAAAAAGTAATAAGGTCAAGTTGGCTATTGATTCTTTATCTCGAATTATCTCTTATTGTAACGAAAATGATTTTCATTAATATGCACTAATTAAATTGATTAATATTTTATAATATAATTTAATTTCGCGAGCATACAACTTTACTGATAACACATCAAACTGTTATTTCAATATTTTTATGTCAATCACCATTTCATGATCATAATTTTGTAAACATCACAAGAGTATCGATAGACAAAAAATTTAGTCTTTAGAATCTTTTGTTTTTTTCTGTTTTTTCGTAAAAAACAAAAAATTCATTATGGATCACCACGTGTTGTAGGACCCGCATATCTAAGAGTTTTTCCCCTTGTCCTTCTTTGTTTTGGCAATTTATGGTCAATGTTGATGCTCTAAAAACATTAATGAAATCATCAGTTCAAAATGATAATTTAACAGACACACAACAATAACTTATAACTTTCTTATAACGAATATATCACATCCTACTTATAGGTCAGACCAACCACTAATAAAGAATATATTGTACATGATCTAAGATATTTAAAAGTTCCTCACCGGAGAAAGCAAAAATAAAATAAAATAAAATGAAGAAGAGCGACGGCTTCCTATTCTGAAACAGAAATGATTCATCCATCAGTGAACTCTCCTCTCAACATGGGTAATCTTATCTTCCCCTTTAAAATCTAGTTTCGTTTTAAAAAATCATTCACTCTTCCATCAGATTTTATTTTTCTGTTCGTCCTTCTCTGTTACGCTGAACCAAAATTTGATTGGAAACATTTTGGGGTCTTCTTGATAAATTGGTTGAAAGCTATGTTTTCTGGTGACAGATGAAGAGGAATCGTTTCTGCTAAAGGAAGAAGATGAAGAAGTCCTTCCTCAAATCAAGAAGCTAAAACGAAGTCAATGGTGGATCTTTGTCTTTATCAGCATCTTCTTCCTCATCTCTGCTCAAGCCGTAGCTGTTCTTCTCGGTCGGTTTTATTACGACCAAGGAGGAAACAGTAAATGGATCTCCACTCTCGTCCAAACCGTTGGTTTCCCGATTCTCTATCTCCCTCTTTGCTTCCTTCCTGCTTCTTCTTCACAATCTTCTTGTTCCTTCAAGACTCTTGTTTGGATCTACCTTTCTCTCGGTCTCGCCATTGGTTTGGACAATCTTTTATACTCGTACGGGCTTTTGTTACTGTCCGCTTCAGCTTATTCGCTTATTTGCGCCACGCAGTTGGTTTTCAATGCTGTCTTCTCTTATTTCATCAATTGTGAGAAGATCACTTTCTGGACTGTTACGTCAGTGTTTCTCCTTACTATCTCTGCTCTAGTGATTGCTCTCGACGATGATTCAGACAGTCCATCAGGAGGTTGGATTTACGTAATCGGGTGCTTGCTAACGCTTCTCGCTTCTCTCATCTACTCTCTTCAGCTTTCTCTTATGCAATTCTCATTCGAGAAGCTCATCAAGAAAGAGTCGTCGTTTGCTATGGTTCTCGAGATGCAAATCTACACGTCTCTGGTGGCCTCTTGTGTTTCGGTTATGGGGTTGTTCGCGAGTGGGGAATGGAAGATGTTGAAGATGGAGATGGAAGAGTTTCACAAAGGTCAAGTCTCTTATGTTTTGACTCTTGTCGGGACAGCAGTTTCATGGCAGTTGGGTTCTGTGGCAGCTGTGGCGCTCATATTTCTGGTTTCTTCGTTGTTTTCAAACCTTATTGGTACGCTTTCTCTCATCGTTACACCTCTTGCAGCACTTGTGGTGTTCGAAGACAAGTTGACCGTGGCTAAGATTGTCGCAATGCTCTTCGCCATCCCGGGAGTAGCTTTTTATATGTATAAGAATTATCTCGATGGCTTGGAAGTGCAAAGAGCAAGCGAATCTCAGGTTGATTGATTCTACAAAGTGTTCAATTAGTTAATTTTGTACACCAAGCTTATGCTGTACGTATTGTTACAATTGTTTATAAAAGCTTTTAATGTGTGTGTTTGTATCTACTAGAGTTCTTAATCCAGTTATAATGACATCGTATCAAAATATAGATTAAAAAAAACGCTCTGTTACGCTTTGAAACTGAATCTTTCTTGGTTTTCTACCATTTTTGTTAGACTGTGTTTTGGAAACGATATTGCGTGTATCTGTCCTAATGTGAGATATGGTCAGGAGGTTCTGTCTAGAGGTCGCTTAACTTGTATCAAGAACATCACGAGACTGACTTTGGAAAAAGTTCCATTGCACACTTTTAGTTTGGCTATATTCATGATGTACAATGGAAGAGATCAACTCTTAGTAGTTTGTTGACCCATTCGTGTTGGATAAGCTTCATTACTTAGGAAACAAGTTATCCTAAAGAAAGGTGGATAACTAAGAAGATAGGTTTAGGAATAAAAAGGAAAGATAAGATAAGAAGTCCTAGATCAAGTTGTAATAGGTTAAGCTAAGAATATCTATATATAGAGATCAATGTGTAAGAGTATCTCATAAGAAAGCATAAGAAAGTTAAGAAAGAAATAAAACAAAGCAACCGTTTTATAATCTCGTGTGTTCTTGATTACTTTATTTGGTATCAGAGCCTGCGTTATTGTTTGAAGAACATCAAAAGACACAAAACGATGGGTGATACAGAAATCAAACCGCAGATGAAGATGACTGTGCCGCCTTCGGTGAAAACACCGATGGAAACGACAACAAACTATGCGGTCTGGACGATGCACATGAAGGTGTTGTTAAGGTTCCAGGGTCAAAGGATCAAAAGAAAAACGACCTAGCTACTGTCATACTATTCCAAGGAATTCCAGAGAATCTAATCTTGCAAGTTGGTGATCAAGAATCTCCTAAAGAGATATGGGATGCGTTGAAAGCCATGAATCTTGGTGCTGATTGTGTGATAGAAGCGCGTTTGCATACACTAATGATTGATTTTGATCGTCTAATGATGATAGATAATGAATCTATATACTCATTCTCAGGAAGAATATCGGAACTTGTAGGAACAGCAGCTTCGTTAGGTCATACAATGGAAGAACCGAAACTTGTAAAGAAGTTTCTTGCTTGTCTACCAGACAAGTTTCTACAGTTATCTGCAACTCTCGAACAAGTTCTTGACCTACAACAAGGTATGAAGATGTAGTTGGTCGACTCAAGGCGTTTGAAGAGAGGTTGCGTGGAAAAGAACGAATGAAAGGAGAAAAGATTGAAGAACAAGGAAATCTTCTCTACTCTGATCATGGAAACAAAGGAAGAGGACAAGGAAATAACAGAGGTCGTGGTAGGGAAGGTAGAGGAAGAGGGCGTGGCAGAGGTAGCAGCTCAGGCGAAAGAAACAGGGAGAAGAGAGATTACTCTCAAATTGAATGCTTCAATTGTCATAAGAAAAGCCACTTTGCCTCTGTGCGCCCTGAAAAGAAAGAAGACCAACAGCTCAACAAAACAGAGACAAAAGGAGCAGATGCAGCTTTATACATGCACGAACTTGTGTTTCTTAACGAAGAAAAGATATTACCAAAGACTCTTGAAAGTGATACAAAAGAAGATGGAATGTGGTACCTAGACAATGGAGCTAGTAACCACATGACAGGAGCGAAATCATTCTTTTATGAGTTGAATGAGAATATAAAGGGAAAAGTAAAGTTTGGAGATGGATCATATGTCGATATAAACGGAAAGGGTTCGATTTTATTTGAAGCAAAGACCGGAGAACATAAATTACTTTCTGATATCTACTTTATACCGGAGCTAAAGAGTAATATCCTCAGTCTAGGTCAAGCAACAGAACAGGGGTGTGAGGTGAGAATGAAGGATAACTTTCTGACCTTAAAAGACCCAAACGACAGGCTACTGGTGAAAGTGAAAAGATCACCAAATCGACTTTATATGATAAAGTTACAAGTCGGTAGAGCAGCGTGTCTACAAGCAAAACTGGATGAAGAACCTTGGCGTTGGCATGCTAGACTCGGGCATATCAGCTTCAAATCATTAAAAGCGATGGCAGCTCATGGAATGGCTTATGGCTTACCAGAGATTTCTGAAGAAAAGCGACATTGTGACTCATGCTTGGTAGGCAAGCAGACTCGTCAACCTTTCCCAAAGGTCTCGTCTTACAGGTCCTCACGTGCACTAGGACTACTTCACGCAGACTTATGTGGTCCGATCTCACCTGCAACTCATTCTCTGAACCGTTATATCTTCGTTATCATCGACGACTGCACAAGATACATGTGGTCTATACTACTGAAACACAAGAGCGATGCATTCAGTAAATTCAAGATATTTAAAGGCCTCGTTGAGAAGGAATTTGAGAAGAAGATTATGATGTTGCGTACGGACAGAGGAGGTGAATTTACCTCAAAAGAATTTCAAGATTTCTGCAACAACAATGGAATAAGGCGACATCTAACAGCACCATACTCTCCTCAACAGAATGGTGTTGTTGAACGAAGAAACCGCACACTAATAGAGATGACTCGTAGTATACTAAAAGCAATGAGTATGCCAAATTACCACTACAAGAAATGTGAGTAATAATAGCATCGCAGCATAGCGGTTTTGGCATTTCTGCTATAGTATACCAATACTGGCGTTTTTAATAGCGTTTATAAATTTGAAACGCTATGATAAGTATCGCGGGAAATAAAAAAAAGTTAGCCGCGTTAATTTGCTAAGTGTTGGCTCCAATAATTAGGAAAAAAATATTTTACCACCAAAACACTTATCAGATTCAGTGAGATGGCTCAGTCTCATCCTCTCTCTCTCTCTCTCTCTCTCTCTCACTCTCTCTCTCTCTCTCTCTCTCTCTCTCTCTCTCTCTCTCTCTCTCTCTCTCTCTCTCTCTCTCTCTCTCTCTCTCTCTCTCTCTCTCTCTCTCTCTCTCTCTCTCTCTCTCTCTCTCTCTCTCTCTCTCTCTCTCTCTCTCTCTCTCTCTCTCTCTCTCTCTCTCTC